GACAAAACTAAATCCTTCTTTGATAATATTTCTTGTGATGATAATAGGTATAGTCCTTTAGCTGCTTTTGGGATGTTGAAGTGTGAAGTAGTTTCTTATAAAAGTTTTTTATGACTGCAACTTTTAATCCTTTATTTTTCTAAAATAAGATAGTTCGTATTAAATTCTTAGGATGTTAGTCCTTGAAAAGAACTGGGCATACTTTTAAGGACACAGTCACATTTGAAAAGTAATTAAACAGAAGCATTCATCTGACATCTAAGTAAGACCTTTTACTTTACCTCTCAGCGGTGTAACTCAAATGAAGCCTGGCCAGAAGTGCTAATAATTACTTTGAAATTGCTGATACAATGAAACGCTCCTATATTATAGTGAATGTGAGCCCAGAAAAATTGTCAGGATAGTTGAAGGACAAGGTGACAAGCCAAGTAGCCTCACGCTTTGGGTGGCCCCGTCAGACTTGTCCTTTTCCTCACCGCGGTTTGGTGCCATCTGGTGGCAGTTGCATGCCCGGTGCAACACTCAGAGCTAGGGTAGAGCTTCCCCGGAGCCTGGCGCCTGGCGCTTGTCTGGGCTGCAGCCCTGGAGATGCCTGCTTCTGGCACCCACGGGTGCAGAGATGGTGTCAGGAGCACATCGGAGCACAGGGGCCTACTTTCCACCCTGAGCTTCCAGGCCGGGGCTCCTCACTGCCTTCTCTTCCGCCATGGCTGAGGGCCTGGTCGTCGGTTGTCAGTCCCAGCAGGTCTGAATTTCTACTATGTTAAGGTTAGGTATGTTACCTTATTTTATCAGCTATATTTGCAGGCAACATATCAAATGAATTCTAATAATGTAGCAGCATCTTGCTGTAGGCAGACTGTGATGATGTAGATAAAACGCTTATGTGAGCTTGGGGGACTGCACAGCCTTAATTTCAGAATTGTGTTACATAATGTTGGAAAATGTTCTTAAAAACCTGATGAGCTAAAGATTATTCTTACAATAGAGAACGAAGACCAACCTGGGCTGAAGAAAGAAGATTAAATGCTGAAACATTTGGCATCCCACTTCGTCCAAACCGCGGTCGCGGGGGTTACAGAGGCAGAGGAGGGCTTGGTTTCCGTGGCGGCCGGGGACGTGGCGGCGGCCGGGGCGGCACCTTCACGGCCCCTCGAGGATTTCGTGGTGGATTCAGAGGAGGCCGTGGGGGCAGGGAGTTCGCAGATTTTGAGTATAGGGTAAGTAAGCACATGCTTTGGTGTTCCCATACAGTTTCAAGAAACTCACATGTTTTTACTTTTCTATTTTGAGAGGATATTTTTAGGTTATCTGTGTGACTTCTGTGGCGGACTTGCCTATTCAGAATATTTAGTTTTGGGCCTCCTTGTTGGCACAAGGGGTTAAGTTGCAGTGCTACCAAGCTCTCTGCAGCCACTGCAGCACCAAGTTCAATCCCCGATCAGGGAGCTGACCCACAGGGTACAGCCGACCTCCCCTGTCTCCTCACTGCTCCCCTCAGCAATGCATTTCGGTGGATCTGCCTGTTCTGTTCCCCACTCTGATCTGGTGAACCGCTTCACCTCTCCCCTCCTCAGTACCTCTGGCCTACACCCCATTTCTTAGATGCATAAATAAATAAAAATAAAATTTTTTTTTTTTTAGAAAATAGAATATTTTTATAGTTTTAAGGAACGGTAACTTCTTAGCTTATAAGTCCAAAATATTTTTTAAATTTTCTTCTCAATTGGAGGAGGTATGAGATTAAAAAAGAAAGTGGTATTTTTTTCTTTTCTTTTTGGAGGGGGTTTTATTATAGAGCCATGGTTTTAGATTTCGTGATAAAAATTCCCCAAAAACTATTGAGACTGACATAGACTTACTTCTTTTTGTACTGTTTTTCTTCCCCTTTTAAAATTATTTTTCTGGAGGCACAGGTATCACTAAAAACATAAAAAGGACTATGTAACAGAGTCTAAGGATATACTCCAGAATAGAGAGCAAACTTACTGCTTTTAATAGCTAATGACATTCTGTAATATTTTGCCTATGCTTAGACATATTTTCTACATAGTCTTAACATATTAAATTGCTTAAACCTCACGTCATCTCTGCAAGGCAGGTTCTGTTTTTATCCCCATCTTGCAAATGAGGGAACATACACACATTAAATAACTGGTCCAGGATGTAGCAGCTAGTGAGCAATGATACTAGGTCTTCAGCCTAGTAGTTCATGAGCCTTGTGGACCTCCAGCTACATTTCTTTATTTTCCTGTGGTCAATTTAAGCTTAACCTTCCCCAGGAAGACCCCTCATCTTCTTGTCATCCCAGCTGTCTCCCGAGCTTGCACTGGCTGGCAGAAAAATTGATTACTTTGTGAAAAAATAATTAGATTTGAATCCTGATGAGTATTTGAGTAATTGTTACTGATTATCTCAGTTACATTGTTAAGCTTTTCAGACCCTCAGTTTCAACTTTTGTAGAAAGGAAATTAAGTGCAGTTTTGCCTCAGATGCAGCTTTTACAGATCACCAGAGTCTTAGAGTTGGAAACCATCTGAGATTTCCAAACTATATAACCTCTTCTATAACATTGCCAGAAGGGGCTGGGGAGTTTAATCTTCCTAAGAGCACCTCACACTCAGAGGTGTTTAATTTTTATAAACACACACAATTTGAGTGAGTAATCTTTTCCCTGTATCTGTAGATACTAGACACTACCTTTTAAACACAGAATATGCATATATCCTTCATGACAATATTTCAGTTGAGGAGTAAACAGCTATCATGTTGTGTGCATAAGACTGGGTGTTCTTTTCTTTCATCTGAACAATCACCAGTAAGCCAAGTACCAAGTTACTCTGTTGGTATCAGTGTGGCTAGCCTGAGGTTGAATGCTTCTGTTGCTATTAGAGCCTGACCCTCCCAGTATCCTCTGCTTATAAAATCATGTATGATACCTGTAAAGGTAGATGTAGGGAGTGATCACTATTAGATAAGTAGATTTACCTTCAAGAATTAAATTAATTTTTTTAATCATAGTTTTTTTTGATGGATTTATTTGTGCATATAAGATCTGGGGTACAGGTCAGAAGTGGGGGTGGCAGTGAGAGAGGGTGGGGAGCAGAACAGGCAGATCTACTGAATACATTGTTAAGGGGAGCAGTGGGGAGACAGGAAGAGCTCTGCTGTACCATGTGGGTCAGCTCCCTGGCTGCGGGGTGGAACTCATCTGCAGAGGCCTGGAACTCATCTGCAGAGGCCGCTGATAGCTTCACAGTGCTGCCCTTTAACCCTTGCACCACCAGGGAGAGCCTGAACTCATTTCTGAAACAGCATCTAACACTTTTTTTTTATTATTATTAAAGATTTACTTATTTATGCATACAGAGCTGGGGTACAGGCCAGAGGTGCAGGGGCGGTGAGAGGATTCACCAGAGACAGAGTGGGAAGCAGAACAGGCAGATCTACAAAGTACACTGCTGAGGGGAGCAGCGGGCAGGTCAGGAGAGGTCTGCTGCACCATGTGCGTCACCTCTGGGACTGGGGATTGAACTCATGCTGAAGTGGCTAGTTTCTCAGTGCTGTGCTTTTAATGCGCTGCGCCACCAGGGAGGGCCCCAGCATCCAGCACTTTTAAGAGATGGACTTCAGTGGCATTTGCAGCAGCCTTGTGATCGGGTTGGCTTTGTTCTGTGTGCTATGTTGGCACGTGAATCATTAATTGAGGGGAACATAAGCATATCTTGTTTGAAATGGAATGGAAACATGGCTAAACATAGGATCATGACTGGTAAGTCTCCTTTAAAACACTTTTTTTGACTTTGGGCCTAATTTTGTTTAAAAATAATGTTAAAAGCATTAATTTGAAGGCTTAACTCAAATGATGCCTTTTTTCTTTCTTTTTGGAGGGGTGATTAGCTGGGTGGGGGTAGGTCCTTCTGCTTGCTCAGAAGGAGAAGCGCCATGGAGGGGAAGACCAGCTGCCAGCCATCTGAGCCGGTGTTACTTTGGAGAGGGTCGGGGACCAGGCGCCCCGGAGGTGCCTTAGCACATATCCGCTCCTGTTCCTCTCTGAATGAACTAAAAGAAACCCGGCAGCGCACCCGAAGGCTGGCTGTGGCTGTGGTGGAGGACCGGGTCGTCCTTTGCTGACTTCTTCCTGTACCCGCTCCTGCCACTCTTGTCACATGTGTTGCGGTCTGAGCGGTTTGCTGTTGTAGGCACAGGTAGAGCTCAGTTTCTAATGCGAGAAGCAGGTCTTCTTAGTGAGGTGTGTGGCAGCCGCTGGTCCTGAGCACGCGGAAGCCCGAGGCTGGTGCTCTGTGCAGCCTTTAGCTGGGATTACCTCACTGGGAGGCGGGCGGCTTCTGGAGAGTTTCACTGCTTTCTCCCTGGTTGCTTTTAAATTTCCTAGTCACCTCTCCAATCTTCAGACCTTACTTTGAATATAGAAGTTATTCTTTAAAAATTTCTAAATTATTGCTTCTATCATGAAATTTTGTAAAATGTTACTTATGTTATTGACTGAATATTTTATTATGTAGTAAAAGTTAGGGGTTTTATTAATCTCCTGAATGTGATGTCAGTCATGTTCGATGAATTGGCCTACGAGAAGCTTGGATTAAGTTCTGTCATTGTGTTAGAAATTATTAGTCTGCCACTGAGATGAGCAAGGTGCGCCTGTATTTCAGGAGGCTTCTTCCTGGGACAGCCTGTGACACTGCTACTCTAACTTTGAAAGTTATTGGGAGGAAATACTAACAAAAATTTGAGATATGAACTAATTTATTTTTCCTTTTTAGAAAGACAACAAAGTTGCTGCATAGTCTACAAACAAGTCTTTGAAAAATAGGTGAATTTCTAGCTCTTCAGTCCTGAGAGTTGGTTGGTCTTTGCGAAGAATGAAGAAGTGAATTTGCTGTATATTTGTCACCAGCACTGGGTCTTTTTGTTTGTTTGTTTTCTGCTTAATTTCAAAGATACAATGTAGTTTCTTTGGGGGGGGAAGCTCATCTTTAAAAAATGAGCATTAAATATATTTGAATAGCAGAAGGTTAAGTAATTTCTTATGTATAGGTAAACTAAAGCAGTACTTGATTGGGACTTAATAGGTATTTTTTCATCACTGAAAGGGTTTTTCTTATCACTAAATTGTATTTGGCAATTAATTGCAAGTTGCCTGAAGATAGGGCCGTGATACTGTGTTTTGAGCTGCAGAAGGTTGTGTGTGTGTGTGTGTGTGTGTCTGTATCTTTCTTTCTTTTTGGAAATCCTGTAATAGCCGTTTTGAGGTAGCTTATTGCGTCAATTAATTAATTAGGGTGCTGGATGGTAGAGAATTTTGTCAGTCAACTATGTACACACAGTAAATACTGTTTCTTAGGCAAAGGTAACTTTTTTATATAGTTGTAAAATTCCATTATATTCCATTGCCAAAGAAACACTAAGAACTTTGTATAGCTGTATAAAAAGCAACTAATTTTTTAAAGAATAAACATTTTAAAGTCAGCAAACATAACTGTGTCCTTGCAGAAGTTGGTGTGCTGAGGAGCAGAGATACGGTGGGCCTTTTTCATAGCTTTCCAAGTGCAAGATTTCTAATTTTTTTTGATGTTTAAAACATAAAGATTTGATACATTCTTCCATTATCTGACAAGGATAAATGACTCATACTCAATAACAAGAATTTCATTTTTTAGCAAATGGCATATCACAGGATTTGTCCAAATAATAGATATTTTCAGTATATGAATGTAAATAATCATAGATAAGAATGTACTTAGCTGTATTTTCAAATAAGTAACTTCCCCCTTTTTTTAAGACATCCAAACTAGACATCAACTAACCTGTTCTTCCTGATATGCCTGGAATTTTGTTGTGATACCTTGACTCATTCCATTGTATTTCCAGAGAATTCAGAGTGTTCAAAATTATTTTGGGAACTCTTACAATATTGTAACACTGGCCCTTGGGCCTGTGACCCCCAGAGGACTCAGTATAGAGTTCACTGCTAATTATAAACTACTAGTAAATCTTTTTGATATTTTAAGCTATAGTGGAAAAAAATCTGGCCACTTTTGTGTTTTTATGAAGGCCATGGAATAAAGGGATCCAAAGATTTAAATATTTTTATCTATTTTGATTTTTGTTAACTTTCTCCTTAAAATAATTCGGTAGTGATAAAGATATGGAAGACTGCACTGTAGGGGAATTGGAATATTTAAGATGGTTGATATTTTTAATTTTAATTTTATATCTTTTGTATAGCTCTACAAAGAAATGTTTTGTAATTTGGTTTCATTATTAAGGTCCAGTACTTTGGCAGCCATAGTTTAGGTAATATTGTTTAATACTGTTTGCTTGCATGTTAACAACAAAACCTTTTGGAGGACCCACAAATCATGATATTGAACACATTTCTGAGGCATTCTGAGCATCAAAGCGAGTGCTGTGGCAATAACTGTGCAGATTGAGATTTCGGGCCAATTTCAAGAAGAAAAACTGTACATAGCAGTTCTACATGCTCTGAAAGTATGAATTCATGCATCTTCCCAGGCCCTCGGGTCGCTGGGGCGTTTGGTGCCCCGGCAGTGACTGGCAGCATGGCATACCTGCAGTGCACCTTACAATATGAAGCAAGGTTTTTATTCTAAGGGAGAATAAAACTGTTCAATAAAGCTGTTCGTGAAAGTTCTTTCTCTTATCAGTAATGTTCTCTTACAACAGAAAGAAACAGAATGAAATGCATCTTTAAAATGTAAAAGTGGAACTGTGGTCATGTACATATTTCCTAAAACAATTTGTTAACATTATCCCTCGGATGTGTTCATTGTTGTGGGAGCCCCTTTCTTCCTCTCTGGAGTGCAGAGACATGAGGAGACAACAGTGAGGCCCAGGCCAAGCTGGAAAGCTTGGCTGGGGTACGCCCTCTGTGGGAGGCTGAGGGAAAGGAGGGAGGGCTGGCTCTCCCTGAGGTCAGGTTTGGGCGGACCACCTCTGCCTCCAGGCAGGCGGGAGGGAGGGCGCAGGCAGGCAGGCAGGCGAGAAAGTTGGTCCTCCTGCCCAAGGGCTCTTCATCTGGGTTTTCAAACTGACCCGGGAAGCAGGTAGGCATGTGAGGGAAGTGTGCTCTGGTTGCCACGGTGACAGACCACTGCTGGCCTTGAAGGCCATGCTGTGCGCCCTCACTGGGAAATGCTGGCTGATCCCTCCATGTGGAAGTCGGTAAACAAGTGAGGGTGCATTTTTCTCAGCAGAAACTTATGAAACGTTTACTGAAGAGAATCTTTACGTAGGGTTGTCTCTCTGGAGTCCCATGAAGTAGGATGTGAAGGAGCTGGCGTAAAGGTACTGTCAGTGTTTTGGAACATCGCCCTCGTGTAGTTACCACACCATCTTGCCCTCACACCCCTAAATGTGCTGCAGGGCATCCCTGAAGTACGGATTCCCTGGCCCACACCTGGAGTCCAATAAGGAAGTTCGGCGCAGGTCCCCCCGGAGAACGTCTGCTTTAGGAAACAAGTGTCAAATGCCACAGCTGTGGCCACTCGTCCAGCCCCTCCTTGTAAGGTTTCCAGAGCAGGTTATCTTACCGTTTCCTGTCCTTCCAACCCACTGTCCCCGCTGCGGTTGGGTATGAAGAGAGAGGGTTTAGATGCGCAGGGTGGGCTGTGGGAGGGCATTTCTGTAGTCGAATCTGGAGGGAAACATTGAGATGCATGTTTACTTTCTGGTTTGGCTGAGATTTTGTGTCTTACTCCTGACATGCAGGAAATGGGTTTGTGGTATTTTCTGTGTTTCAGTTTTACACAGCAGTTGACGTTGCTTCTATGGATTATCTCCATAGAAGGAGAAGCTGCTCCTTCTGCCAGTCAGTGGCTTACTTAGAATTGCATTTGTATCCATTGTTTCAAGATCCCCCCCCAGCCCTGGTCAGTCACGCATGAAGCTAGTATAACTGATAGTGAAGTGTATAAAGTCACATGTCTAGTAGCGCCACTGATCTCTGAATCGGAGGATGCAAGTGGGGCTCTAAGAGTAGGCTTCTGTAGCTTCCATTACGGTGAGGGCGCAGGAACAACTGAAAGAGACGCCACCTGCTGGGAATTTGACCGGATGAGGGGAGCAGTAGAGGCCTGGAGCCCAGCAGCCACCCGCCAGCCAGCCAGCCAGCGGGTGTGCCGGGGAGCAGGGCTGTGCATCCCAAGCGCTGCTCTTGTGGGGAATCCCAGCTTTCTGAGGAGTGATGCAAAGGTTCTTCCCCTGTTTTTCAGAACTGGTGTTAGTAAAAGCCAGTTTGTGGTTTCAAGACATTTATAAATCTGGCTCGGGAAGCACATGGTGAGACTGAAGCCAGTGTGGTTTCTGTCCTCAGTGATGGTGCCTTGAGCCTTGAGCCCGTGGTGTGGTGTCCTTTAAATTCCACCACAGTTCATATTTAACCAACTTGGCCGACTGATAAAAATGTTTCCAGGTTTAGCTCATAAATGTATCAAAATAGACCTGAATCTGATTCCAATTCACACTGGAGTGTTGATTTTAAGGAAACATTTTCAAATGCACTATGTCCATAATGTGGTTTACAGAGAAACAAAGCCGCTCTGTGAGACCAAAGCACATTTTAGTTCAATAATAAGGCCTCAGAGTGACTCACCGTTTAGGTGCCACAGAAACAGCTAAGAGCGGCCAACAAGGAACGAAGAGTCTCGCCTTTGCCTCCAGACTTGAAGAGCAGCCTGCCAGTGGAAGGGAGAAAGGGAGAAAGCAAAGAAGGCGGGTGTTGAGGGGTAATGAATTCCAGAAGTGGGCGTCCAGTGCAGGGGGACAGGAATGTGTTTACTGACTGTCCTGAGGCTCCCCCAATCTGATCATTCTTGGGGCTGATCTCACAGCATGGTTGATGCCATACAGCATTGTAGTTCAGGATTTTGCTTGTGCTGAAATTGCTTTGTGACTTGTTTGTGGCTTACTTGGTGATGATTATCCCATGTGCCATGCGCCAGGGGTTAATAGTATTTCTTTGTCCCAAACTCGCTATGTGCAGCCATGCAGCTTGGCAGTTTGTGAAACGGAATTAGGTATAATCTTGTTGTTTTGAAAAAGTAATATGCTATAAAAAAAGAATGTAGTATATGGGAGCTTGGGTTTTTTTTTTTTTTTTTAAGATTTATTTATGCATACAAGACTGGGGTACAAGCCAGAGACGCAGGGGTGATGATAAGAATATTCACCAGAGACAGTGGGGAGCAGGACAGGCAAATTGACAAAGTACACTGCTGAGGGGAACAGCAGGTGAGGCAGCAGAGGTCTGCGCCATGTGGGTCACCTCCAGGGCTGGGGATCAAACTCGCACTGAGGCAGCTGTGGCCAGCTTAGTGCTACGCTTTAACCCGCTGCACCACCAGGGAGGCCCCAAGCTCACTGTAACCGCACTGTTAAGCTCCTTTCTACTAATGACCTCAGTTGATCAGTTCTCTTGATGTCACATTTGGGTAATTTCTAGCTTTGAGTTGTTCAAGTCATGCTGACACCAGCTCTGGGAAGCCAGAGCTCCAGGGGAATAGCAGCTGACACCTCTCGAGAACTTAAACATGGCCAGAGACCCTAGTGCCTAACACTTGAGCTTGTCCACACCAGTGTGCTGCAACTAAATCATTACTGAGCACAGAATACCAACAAGTGCTGATGTGCTATAGCTGTATTGTTAGAGCAGATACAAGGGTCATCCCCCTCTGGGTGCCGAACCCTTGGCCTCTGAGGACACTGCCCAGCGGCAGCAGTGGGATGGTTCTTGCCCGTGTCTAGAATGTGGGCTTGGCATGTTCGCTCCCGCCCTCTGGTAAACCCCTACTTACTCTTGCTGAGACTCCCGTCACCCTCACTCTCTGGTTGTGACTATCTCGTGACCTAATTACCACCCTTCATCTTGAAAAACCTGATGATGCCTGCCTGCCTCACACACTTAAATCACACCAAGTGATATGACTTCCATGTGACGTAGGCATCTGTGTGACGAGTTCCAAAGTGATCTGTGTGGTGCTGGTTTATTACAGCAAAAGATTACAAAGCAACATAAGCAAAGGGGGAAAAGACAAACTTGGAAAGGGGATTTTGAGAGGCTGTTTGGATGGGGTGCCTACCAGCGAAGCTCATCAGGAACTCAGCACCCAGGAGTGCTTATCAGGACCTGGGTGTGTCAGCACCCTCTGCCGGGCACAGGCCAAAGCCTCAGGCTTCCAGAAGTTAAAGCACAAGTAAGCCACATTCACATGTGTGGGCGTAGTAAGCCCCTCATCAATTTGGGAAAGGTGGAAACCCTCCCAGAATCCAGGCTTCCAGATGTCATTCAAGAACCAAACTTGGGGGCCCTCTCTAGTGGCTCAGCAGGTTAGAGCACAGCACTGTGAAGCTGGCCAGGGCCACCTCAAACCCAAGTTCAGTCCCCGCCCCGGAGGTGACCACATGGCGCGGCAGACCTCTCCTGACCCGCCCGCTGCGCCCCTCAACAGTGTCCTTCGTCAATCTGTCTGTTCTGCTCCCCACTCTGTCTCTGGTGAATCCTCTCACCCCCTGCACCTCTGGCCTGTACCCCAGCTCTGTATGCACAAATAAATAAATCTTTAAAAAAGAAAACCTAAATACTCTGTTTTCCTGGTTGCCACATTCATCTATTTTTCTCCCACTCTCCACCTGCTGCTCCCAGTCCACTAACCTGGTTCCTCCACCACCCTATCTCAAATTGTTCCTCTTAGTTTTACTTTCCTTTTTTTTTTTTAAAGTTGTCTACAGCCCCTGTGATCTTGGCTACATGGAGCTACTCTCAGATTCACTTAGCACAGATCTCTTTTCTGTGTGACTTTATACCTGCACTTGAAATTTCGAGTTGGAGTGGCTGCTCAATTTTTTTTTCTTTATATATACAGAACTGGGGTACAGGCCAGAGGTGCAGGGGCTGAGAGGATGCACAGACACAGGATGGGGCGCATAACAGGCGGATCTACTGAAATACACAGCTGAGGGGAACAGGGGAGGGGACAGGAGAGGTCTGCTGCTTCCTATGGGTCGCCTCCAGGGTGGGGGTCGAGCTTGTGCTGCAGTGGCTGCCCATTGCTTCATAGTGCTGCGCTTTAACCCCTTGCACCACCAGGGAGGGCCCTGGCTACTCAACTGTACCTCAGATTGATCTCTTCATCTCTATTTCTCTTTCCCAGCAGCACTGTCTGCTAACCTGAGTGTGCCAGAACCTGGACATCATCTTTCTCGCTCATTTCCCTCCATTCTGCACAAACAGCATGTTCAAGTTACCGCGTTCTGCCTGTTTTACTTCCTGCATAAGTCTCATGCTTCTTTTTCATTAAAAAGCCCTTTTTTTGTGACTTTGATAGGAGATACGCGTATTTATGTACTTTGAAGCCCCAGGACCCCCCCAGGCTCATCACGAAAGACAGCAGCCCCACAACCTTTCCCCTTCCTACCCATAGTCTTAGGTTTTTAGTTTTGCTGATTCTCTGAGGAAAGGGGAAAACTATTCAACAAATACTCGTTGAGCCCTTCTACAGAAGAAGTGTCGTTCCATTTACAAGCACAACATCAGTGAACAAACCTGACCCTTCATAGTTTGTATTCTGAGAGGAGACAAGAGGTACTCTGTGAAGGTGCATAAGTCCAGACACACCGT